GGAGTGTCAGTGGTCCATTTGAGAGATAGGTGGCGGTAATGCACTTATAAGTCTGCGATCCGCCGTAAAGCAAGAAGAAGAAGAAGACGCGTCGGCTGTTGAGAACGCACTCAGGACAGTTCGGACATTGCGGCGAAGTTTTGAGTTAAAAATCTTCGTTTTTGTTCTACTGAAGAAACAAAGTCACCTACATCTTGGATGCCCTGGGGGTAAGCAGATAAACATCAACATTTCATTTTTGGGTGAACTATCCCTTTAAGGACAGGAATCCTAGTGGTAAGATTTGAAAAAAAAATTCTGGTCACAATACAATAATATTGCAATTCTATTTGCAGGGATTCCTAATTTGTTTTGGTCACCTAAACCGAAAATATTTACTTAAAGTACCCCCTTATATCTTAAATAAATATTTCAATATTATCCCATATTACTGTTTTATTTTGATTGTTTTTTATTTAAAAATTATTTTACATTTTTATGATTTAATTAACTATTAGCTTTTCATCAACTCACAAACCCTGTTTGGAAGCCCTTGCTTTATATATAGTTATACAAAAAATTTGGCATGATGAAAAAACAACATGGTACAGTTACATATTTCTACTTTAAACAACTATGTCACCTTAATTTAATAGAGTTAAATCAGACACATTTTCATTGTTTGTTGAGTACTAAATACAGTAGATAACTAGTGAAAGAACAGATACCTTTTCAGCTGGTTTGTATTCAGGAACCTCCACTTCAGCTAAAACACTTGAAACAGCCTCATAGGAAAGTTGCTATGAATTATTCAGCGGCAACAAAACATGAAAAAAAAAATTTATAATAACTTGAGAATTTTATTCAGGTAGCACACAAGTAAAAAAAGACAAACATTAAACATTCCTCTTACCTCTTCTGAATGAGGAATATTATAAATTCCAGCAAAAAGGCGAGCTGTGCTGACAACAAAACTGAAATGCCTGATGGAGGGAAAAAAAACACTTATAATTCTGTTTTACCTCTTTAAAAAATTCCTACTTCTGTTTCTATAAACAGAATATTTACTCAGATACTCACAGTGGGTCATCGAGGTCGAACTCTATAGGAGAAGGCGGCCGTTTGGGAGACTGCCAAAACAGACCTGAAAACATAGGAAAAGCATTTGAGCTGGGCAAAGACGAGACTGTTGGTGTTTGATACAGCATCTCTGCATGAATGAGTGAAGCATGCAACTTACTGCCGTCTTTTAGCCGTGTGTCCAGTGGAAATGAATGTAGCAGTTGTAATGCCTGAAGTATTAAAATAAAAAGGCACACTGTAAACATATCCAAAAATAAAAACACTTTATTCTTAATAGGGAAGTTATTATAGTTATAATTAGTATAATAATAGTAAAAATTAGTATATAATAAAGCATTATTACTATTCTATAAATAAATTCAAAAGCCTAAAATGATAATGATAATAGTCATTACCACAAGACGATTTCCATTATTAAAGATTTATGCACAACGGTTCCAGTACCTTTTTTTTGAAGTACTTGTCGAATTTGAGTCGAGCGAGAGCTAGACAGTGATTCCACTGAGTGGGTCTCCGACTCAGCAACTTAATGACCTGAAATGACCCTTCCATAGTCTCCCCGGCCATCATCCTCTGCACACACAAGCACTGAAATTAGAACCCTAACAAGGCTTGTTCAACACCAACAAGGCTAAATTGGTGTTTAGATAAGCATGTAGTATTATCCTTACCTGTAACACCTCTTGAGCTGATGAATGACTCTGCCAGAACATGTTATAGATGGAGGGTTTGTGGGAGAAAGCACTCTCAAACTATACAAAACAAAAACAAGATCACAAATCAGAACACTCACAACACCTCGAAGTACTATTAAGAGACAATCAAACCCCAAACTAAGCCTTTTTGGACATTTTTGACTAATTTCTTATCTTTCTCTCTCTTTTTTTTAATCAATCAAACAATATCCTTGGAGTGGTCCAAAACTTGGCACCCTTTTTAGATGTGCAATCTGAATAAACAAAAAACTGACTTCAAAAAATGGAGTCTAAGTGGTCATAAAAGTCACATCTTGGCTGTTTGCGGTAAAAAATGGACTAAGAATAGGAGATGAAAGAAGACATGCAAACACAGAGCAACTGTTTTTAATATTTGTTAAATAAAATCTATATATCATGCACAATGCTGAACAAGCACACAGAGAAATGCACGAGTGAAACATCCAGAATGCAAAACATCCAGAGTGCAAAAGATTCACAAAGAAAGGTTAATGAAGGATTCTTCTGACTACATCTTCAAACTATGTCTATATTAAAACATTTATCACGTGTTCCAGAATAAAGATCTGATCGTGTCCCTGAGTGATCATGCATTTAAGTGGATTTTGGGATTTGTTTTGGTGTTTATTTCCTATATTATGTGATGGTAATGACATTTCAAACTTTTTGGAGAAAAAGTTGGATAAGCCTTCGATGAAAAAATGGATGGTTTCTGAATTAAAATACTAACCAGTTTGGTAAAAACTAGGGCTGTCAAATCGATTAATCGCGATTAATCGCAACCCAAATAAAAGTTTGTGATTACATAATATATGTGCGTGTACTAGGGGTTGCACCGACTAATCGACTTCAACGCTCTGCCTTGACGCTTTAAGCTTGACGTCGACTAGTCGCTGGTCCTACAGAGGGCGCAACAGGATAAGAAATCTCTGAAGGACTTCCACATTTACGCTCCGTTTCCAAACAGTTCAAATGACAAATAAATGCATACTCTGAAAGCGCTCCACCAG